CTTTTTTACACTTTCTGGTGTTCCACCATGAAACATATCCACAAGGCGAAACCTGGGATTTGCTTCACAGTTCAGATAAATATTATTTCCTAGATCCGTGCAGAAAATGCATTATAAATTGTTGCACATTGGTTCCGTGTTTGAGTATATATAAGTCTCCGAGAACATGTTTCTTTCTTTTCTATTAATTCATTAATAATTGAATAGAACATGCCAATGACTTCTTTATCACTTTCCACATACTCAACATAATACCTGATATTTTTTCGTTCAGGGTTTTTTTTCAATAAAAAGTGTTTCAGATACATCAATATCAAGCATCCCAATTACTTTCATCTTGGTTTGTTGAGTTGCAGTTGCTGTAAACAAGGCAAATTTCGTTTCTGGGTCAAGAAGGCATTTAAATTAATTGAGTTCACCATACAATTTTCTAAATGATTTCTTTCCAGTTGCATCTGATCCCCTGAAAAAAGTGTTTAAAATAATATTAACACAACACACCTATTGAAGTGAACAAGTAGGCAAAACTGTAATATAAATACCATAAGTGCATCTTATTTTCAAAGACCTCTATGCTCTTATCTTTGCACCTGTCATGGAATCACATAACCTTATGAAATACTTAACAATCCCTTCTACTGTCACCCCCCACACACACACACACACACACACACACACACACACACACACGCATCAACCTTCCTGCTCCGACAATAACAAGACATAGGCCTCTTTGACCAACTTAGTCACTCACTACAGCTGTAGCAAAGTCAATAAATCTCAATGGGTTCGAGGGCAGAATGAAAGAAAACTGGTTTTAATATTCCCCTTGTTTTCCTCCATGACTTATGCCTATGGAGAAATATGTATACCCACTTTTGTATCAACTATCAAGCCTTTATAATCAGTATTGATTTGATAATCTATATAAATCCCTTACCATTGTGCAATTATGTGTGCTTCATCGTATGCTACTCCAGTACAATGATCTCGAAATTCTTCAGAGCACAAAATGTTTCTCTACGCTTTTTTACCAAGTAAACATTCAGGGGAAGCAAACACCAAGGAATATTCGCCTTCTCTCACGTTTTTGAGAATATTTTCATACTCGCGATCACTTGCCGTTGTAGCATTCGAACTGTTTTCCGAATACAGAGCAATTGAAGAAATACCAATCTCTTTCATGTGGTTACATTGATCTTCCATTAAAGATTTTAATGGCGAGATCACAATTAGCGTTGAAATTCCAATTGTTTGTTCTTGAAGTATATCATAAACCCAAGGTAGCGACTGGAATACAATGGATTTTCCATATCCTGTTGGAGCATTAAAGAAAACATTTTGACCATTGCAAAAAGCTTTTATCAATTTCATTTGATCATTGTACAGCTCATCAATCTTAAACACATATTTTATTAAATCAAAAGCCTCTTGATATCTTTTATTCATGTGCTCCACTCCTTCGGCGGCCATGTTCATTTGCATAAATTATGAAATTAAGTCAAATTAACAAAATATGTGCTACGTCATGCATACATTTTCAAATGTGGACATCTCTGGACGAGAAATTTGAGAATATTGCACAGTCCGCACACAACGGTGTAGTGGACTGGAACACAGGCTATACATGTGGCGGACATGTTTAGGGTTTGGCTTTATATTGTAAGACTTGTAAGAGTTTTTGAAGTAAATATATGAACTGAAAACGTTATTTGCATGTGAAAACATTTCCCACAGTACTCTTTAGGATCGTGTGGAATGTAATTAGCACTTAAAACGTTGCAGTATTTAAATATAAAATACAGCATCCGAGGTCGAACCTAGCATGATCTGCTGCTGAAAAGCGTACAACCTGCGGTTAAACCGTGGTCGACCCGTGGTGAACCTGCTGTTAATCACGGTTTTTGTCAACTTATTTCTAGGCAGTACTGTATACAAGACTACTGTATTAAATAAAATATATAAAATAGTATATATAACTTTGCATAATTAATGTATTTTCAATTCCCAATGGTCGGAGAATGTGATTTCGACCAACAATTCTTATTTGACGAGTATGTGGCCATTTCTCATTGTTACTGTTTAAGAAAGGTATCATTGAAAAGCTAAATAACAGCTCTTTCGTCATATGTAAAAATTTAAGACACTTCATTGAGACACCCTGTATGTCCTAATTTTATATCAATGGTATACAAGTGATATAGTTCTGTTTTTACCTTTAGATTACATCACACTTAGAGTACATGCGCCGTCATTGCTGCAAGTTTTGAATTAGCTCCCGATACTTTTAAAATTTTAAGCTTATTCCTTTATGTTGTGTGGTCATATTTGGAATAGAATTTTTCTAAATACAGTTCTCTATGACAACTATGTTCAAGGGACAGGATTTAAGCACTGGCTTGCAACAATATAAAACGTTGGAAAGACGCTGGCATCTGCAGCTAAATATTTGTGGTCAACGAGCAGAACAAGATGCAAGAAGGTACTTTCAAACATACTTATAATGCAAAAACGTTGAAGAGTTTGAATCATTCACTAACTATTCCTAAGACATTACACTGTAATCTAAAGAATCTGCAAATTTTAAAATGTTTTTGTGGCCATTCCAACCTATTATCAACCATACGAATTAAAACGTCATGCTTCAAAGAACTCTTGCAAAAGAAATATATTGAATCTCGTTGATATTAAAATAACTAGTATTAACAATGCAGTGTCAACAAATTTCCCTTCGTTTCTTATTACAAATGCTTGCCATTTGTCAAATAAACTCGATGAATTGTGAACTGTTGTTAACATTAATAATGTCTCTGTTGCAGTCATGGCTCTCATCGGATATACCAGATTCAGCAATAAATCTTAGTTCTAATCTTACAAGAGGGCCCCCTATACCTCTTCACAAAATGCTTTCACGTAAAAATATTTTGCCTTTTCACGAGTCACGGATTAAGAAAATCATCGATCACGTTTCACGGCCTTCACGCTTCACGCAAAAAGTATGGGGGCCCGATCACGTTTCACGGCTAAGTAAAATAAGCCCTTCACGCTTCACGCAAAAAGTATAGGGGGCCCTCTTACAAGTTATCGTTTAGACAGAAAATACCCAGGTGGGGGTATAATTACATATATTCCTCCAAAATACCAACACAATGTTTGACAGAATTTCAGGCAGAAGGCAAAGAAATTCTATGGCTCTTGTTAAAACCGCCACAAATACCATAACCGTTTAGCACTATTTTGCTCATCGGAGTTTACTCACCACCCAGGTCAGACAGTGGAATCAATGAAGGAAATAACTAAAACTATCTCAGATGGAATTGAATCGGTTTTGTGTAATAGGCCATCAAGTGGTGTAATAGGCCATCAAGTGGTATAATTATAACTGGAGATTTTAATAAACTTAATTTAGACCCGTTATGTAGGCAATTTGGTTTACGAAAATGTGTGAAATCTCTGACTAGGGGTAATGCCATCCTTGATCAAATTCTAACTAATATGTCCCATTTGTTTGAACCTGCTCAACATCTACCTCCATTGGGGCATTCTGACCATCAATGCCTACTTTTTAAACCTAAGCAATGGATGAAGCTATCACTGATTACAAAGAAATTCTTACCAATGAAGCCAGGCAATCTACAAACACTACAAGCTGAAATGTCTAAAGAAACATGGGAAAGTGTTATAAATGCTGAGGATGTTGATAATGAGGTGTTTATATTAATATCCCTGTAACCAACATGCTGGATATTGCTATGCCTGAAAAATATGTGTGCATACCACCCATCAGATGAACCTTGGATAACACCCTTTATAAAAAATTGTATCAAGGAATGTCAATCAGCCTACACAAAAGGCGACAAATAAAAATATGAAGTGCTCTGCGTTAAAGTAGCAGATTTGATATCCAAAGCCAAACGTAGGTATTACCAAGACAAGGCAAAAAACAATCGGGTCTATGATGTTTTACCACAATTGAATGATTACAGATGAAGCTGAATAAGTCTGATCTACAGCTCAACAATACCCAACATGCTTTCACTGCCGGACGCTCGATGGAAAAAAAGGTGTTCATCCTTTGTTCATAGATTTTAGAAAGGCATTTGACCTCGTTGATCACAGGATTCTTATAAAACTTGCAGAATTGAATTTTTGGTTATGGATAAAGAGCTTTTTATCAGGCAGATCTCAACAAGTAAACCTGCAGGGTGTTTTATCAAGTATTATGCCTTGCACAGCTGGAGTCCTTCAAGGATCGGTAAAATCTCCGATTCTGTACCAGATTATGTCACTGTCAATGCATGTAAATACGCGGATGATTATACCCAAGACGAATGGACCATTTGCATTATAGACTAAATTTTGATCTGGACAAAAATTTCATCACAGCTTGAAAGAGCATCACAAAATTAGTAATATGCCAAAGTTTCGTTGCGAAATGTTGTAAAATGCAGATAATACAGCCTTGCGAAGTTTGCCGTTTTTCAGTCATTTTGTATTACGCGTGGGAAATTGACAGCCCAATCGGGTGTTGGGGGCATCAATTTCCCGTTTGTAATACAAAATGACTGAAAATTGCAAATTTTGCAAGGCTACACTATCCGCATTTTACAACATTTCGCAACGAAACTTTTGGAATATTACTAATTTTGTGATGCTATTTCAAGCTGTGATGAAATTTTTGTCTAGATCAAAATTTAGTCTATAATGCAAATGGTCCATTAATATCTGTGGAATCACAGTAATATGCAAGAGGTAACAAACATTCTATTAAAATGGGCAGATGAAAATAAAATGGAATTAAACTCAACAAAAACAAAAGTATGTGGATATGTTTCCATAAAGCGATCTTGGAACCCCCTAAATTAACAATAGCAAATAGTGAAATTGAGAGAGTTGAACAGTTTAAACTGTTGGGTGTTTGGCAACAAAATAATCTTAAATGGAATAAACATGTTTTCGAGACTGTTCGTAAAGCCAACAAAGAACTCTTCCATCTCAGAGAATGCAGAAGATCTAAGCTTCTGGTGGAAGTTGGACTTACAAGCTATATTTCGAAAATAAGACCAATATTAGAATATGCATCACCAGTCTATATGGAGGTCTTCCCAAATAACTAGAGAAAGAAATTGAGCAGGTGCAGAAAAGGAGCATGAAGATAATTGGTTTTCCCAACAACCATCTTCCATCACTAAGTGAAAGAAGAGAGAAACTCACTGAGAAAGAGCTCCTGAAGATACAAGCAGATGAAGATCACCCATGCTACAAACTCTTGCCAAACACTAAAACACATAATTACAATTTAATAATATCGGGAACTGATAGACATAAGAACTCATTCATTCCAAGAGCATGTCATAGTCTACATAAGTAGGATTTTATAAGGTGGGAATTGGTTATAGTAATATTTTAATATTTTTACATATATATAAACTTGAATACTCGAAATATTTATATAATTAATTACAATGTATATTTAGAAATATTGATGTAAATCCATTGTATTTTTAAACCCAAGATGGATAAATAAAGTATTATTATTATTAATTCATATTCATTGTTTAACACAGAGAATAATATCACTATGAAGCTTGTCAAATTGGACATTTTAGCACCATCGCCAGATATTTTGATATTCAGTTTAAAGTCTTCTCCCATCAATATTTATATTTCCTTTGTTGATCTGACACAATGCAAAATACATTGTCAATATTTTAATTTAGCTTTAAGTAGGTTAGTATTTAGCATTGACATTCTCCTACCTGAGATTTTATAACTGAGCTGCTAGAGGTTCACATGGGGTCCTTGTAATATGGCACAATTTGTTCAATTCTTCATTACACTGTTTAATTAGGTAAGGTCGTGGAAGACTTTCTCCCCCTGGAGTCATGATAAGTTCATGATATGCCGCCTTTCCCACACAAAATTTGTCTGAAACAAAAAGTACACTTTTCACTTTTTCCTTTTTGTCTTCTGGTAAATCTTTGTACCCCTTTTTCTCTTGGTTGGTTGAATAATTTAAAGAGTGACTGGAACCTTCGCAGTCAGAAAAGGATACAGATTCTAACCCAAAAGTTTTTGCAAACCATAATGCTTGCTCCACATGCGTTTTCAGTTTTTTAACTTTCTTCATTGTTGTTGATCACCCACTTCGGTAACTTTTCCACTTCTATTTTCAAACTCAAGATCCTGTCCAAGTCTGGTTATATAGGATTGAAGTTAATTGTTTATTTTGTTTTAAGAGTTTTTCAATTTCATTCAGGTTTCTGATCTGCTGCTGTTCAGCATCCTTATTCTTCACTTCTAATTGCACCATCTGAATATATAGCTCTTCCCAGAAATTTTGCAGGCTCTCATTATCGATTAGCAGTTGTTGGTTTTTACTCTTTTCTTTTTCCAATTCATGTTCTAGTTCTGTATAAGTTACAACTTTGTCTGCTGCGTACGGCGGATCTTTATTTTTTTTTCTGCCAGGTTTTAAATTTAACCGTATCTACGAAGTTCGAAACATCAGACATTTCCAAAAGAGAAATGAGAGTTTCGTTTACAAATTTCAAGCCAAATCGTGCAAACTTGGTGATGCATGCTGGCCAATTTCATCACTGTTACTATAAGTATCCCAAAATGCAGTTGGGTATTAGAAAGCCTGTTTTTCGCTGAGTATTTCGGATTTATGAAAAAAATGCGGCAAGTGGGAAACTTTTAACAGGAAACAAGGTAAGTGGTCTTGAAATCCGTTCTTTCTATATAGTTGGTGTGTTTCACATGCTATAAGTGTAACAGTTTTCTATATGGGCAAAAATATTTTAAATAAATCGGTCAAAAGCAGGGCGAGTAAAAATCGTTGGGAAAGTCTGCCTTTAGATATAAAAATTTAAATATAAAAGTTCCTTATTAATGTTGATTTTGGCATGGTGGAACTTTTTCAGAAAAGTGTCTTGTTGCTCTCGAGATTTCTGGTAGAACACGGTTTCCTCCATTCTGTAGCTTTTGTATTCAGGGTTGAGATGTAATTGGTCGCCAATGCCAATCAGCGCGAGCTCTTCATCATTCCGTTGTTGTTTAACGACCCGTTCCAACAACCTGGGGAATTCTGGAATTGATAAATCTTTCTTTCTCGTTCCTTCCTTTTCTCTCTTGAGAATTGAATTCATGCACTCGTTTGGGTTTTGGTTGTACATCACAGGTGGCCATCCAAGTCCAGACATAGCGCAGATGTCAGCTATCATAGTTTTTCTCACAAGTTCCAACTTGTGCTTCAGGAAATAAGCAACAAATTTCTGACCTTGATTGTGGAGAGATATCCACTTTGCCTTGAGATTATTCATTGCAGTGTCTAAGGCATCACTGGTTACTTCGTCGATCAGGCCAGGAATTCTCTCAGCACCAGCTGTTTTACCAAATATATCATTCATGAATGTTTCAGCTGTTTCTCCTCGAATCCCAAGTTCTTGCAATTTTGCAGAAATATTTTCCTTCATGTGAAGGTCGCAAAACAAGTGCTGTGCGTTGGTGAGAGTCCATCCAAATCCATCCCATAGAGCTTTTTCCCCGTCTGTGCCGTAAACAAGACTTTTTTCTTATTTCGGGCTTTAGCTTTATCATTGTTGCTGACAATTTGTGATAGCTAGAGGCCTCCTTCTTGTTGTGTATCATAACTGGTCCGATTCGGACTGGATGAGAACCCTCTTTAATGCGAAGCAAAAGATGGTGGTAAGTAGTAACCGTCACATAGTATTTCCCAAAGTTGAAAGTTGGGTCGACGCCTAAAACACAAAATTTCACTGGATTTGAACAAAATCTAGTGACATCATTGAGTTGATGATCCGTTGTCAGTATTACGCGAGGGTCAGACGATATTTCCACTTTTCGGACAAATGCTTTGTTAGCATCCCTCGCGCCTTCTTTGTGCATTTCTATCAACTCCAACATCTGGTCATTGGGCTGATGATCCTGTGTGGCCCTATTAATGTGTTTAATTTGTCGCACATTCCTGGCATGGCAGGCAGCATTCCTAAATTGTGTTATGCCACCTTGTTCATCTATGCTTTAGTGGAATACTATGGTTGGCGATTTTATCTCGTCGCATAACACGTAAAGCAATAAAGGTACGGTTTGGAGTAATTTGAGTGAAAGAGTGACCAGAGTGCATAAGTGACCATAAGTGAGTTCAGTAACACACATTAAGTACCTTGATAACGTTTTACTTTTCCCCTTCTCTTGCCGTGGAAAAGTCTTTTATAGAAATATTATGCATCGTTATGGACTATTTATATACAAATTCCGACCGCACACTCACAGAAAGGAATATAGATGCCAGTTTGGCAATTCAGGGTGCAAAAACAGAAACGGCATAACATTCATAACGCAAAACTGAACTGCTTACATAAAAGCCAGCGCACTGGATGATAAAATAATTAATTTTTCCAGTGCGGGTACACTAGCTTACAGATTACAGCGTTGCTAACAGCAGAAAGCAAACAGTATAACTGAAAAGAATGGTGATATAAATTACAAGTGAAAGACACAGTCTTTTTGCATATACACGACTAAATATTTACTCACAATATACGACAAGTAGTCACACTCGTTAAATGCAAGGCATGCGACAAAGGAGAATTTTCACTGACGAGAAAAGTGAAATAAATTTTTCAATAATTCAATTAAAGTTCTTACTTTTCTTGACAGTTTAACATCCAGTTCAAGATTATGTAATGTGGATGGACTTGCATCTGTAGTTGTGCTATCATCCTAAATTATGTAAAATTATCAATCATCACCTTCACTGATAAAAATATTGCTAATAGTCTGATTAGAATTGTAAAAATTAGAATACAACAACAATATCACACTTACGGAACTATGAATAATAACCGTTTTATCGACTGGCTCATCTTTTGCTGGTGAGATGGTTAGATCTACCACATCAATCGCCTATATCGATGACGTGCAAAAATTGAAACAACAAGACTATTCAGTAAAAATAATCATTTCTTGGAGCGATTATAGAATACCCATCCAGTTTTGAAATTGTTACTTGAAAAAGCCTGGTTAAGATTTATTTTTTCATGATTCGATGATAGGAAGTCAGAATAAAACTATGTAATTATATTTGCACTTCATATCATTGTATCACCAAAAAATACCCAGGCTTTTTCAAATACTCCACTTTATTATCGACTTCGTTTTCCATCGTATCATGACAACAAGTATAACAGTTTCAAAAGTGGATAGGTATTCTATAATCTAGCCCAAATGACTTTTTATACTGTTTAAAGCCCCGCACAGACAAGCAATTTTTCCTTCACAAGTTTTATTGCTCGTCTGTGTGGGGCTTTCGGGAAACAACCCGCTTATGAGATCACACCGTATGGTAGAATTTATAGTAAAACATTTCATGCATTTTATGTGGACAAATGGGTTGGCCTGCTTGACGAGATCTCGCACCAAACGGAATTAAAATGTGTTATGCTCCCATATAAATCTGGTCACAGCAGGCTAGCCAGCTTGCCCAGTGGGATTGTAAAGACTTCAATAGCTGTAATGTTAATAAATATGAAGTTTCAAAGCAAAAAATTAATATGGAAATCTATCCTAATATGTGAACAACTATAACCAATTTATAAACAATTTATATCCCGGCCACGGGGATAAAATCTCCGGCGCATATAAATGCAAACAAAAATTCCTCCCGCCTACCGGGCAGCACGTCTCGCTTAGCGGGCCAGCCTGGCTCCATATGAACAGTCTTAACCTGAGTATCAGGCTCTATTTTACAAATAGAGCCTGACACAAAACTTAACCTGATCGCTTTCCGCCCACAGCAAAGTTTATATTTAGTATCCAATCAAAATGTCGCAGGAGAAATTTAAATTTCACACAACGACAACAACAATCTAATTATAGCATAGGCAGCCCACTAAACGGCTTAATTTAAATTAAAACTGCAATGAACTTATAAAATCACAAATTAGCTAAATATATTGCAAATGTAGCTTATATTAAATCGCCACCCGATTGCTCTCTCCTCCGCAGAGGTTTCAGTGACTACAATGAGCTTTACATGGCGCTTGCCGTATTTATCAACAAACAGTGACGTATATATATATAAAGTATATATATATTAAGTATACTTTATAACTATACGTCAGTCGATAGTGCAATCTGATGGCGATTTAATATAAGCTACATTTGCAATATATTTCGCTAATTTGCGATTATTTTCTAACTTTACTGCAGTTTTAATTTAAATTCAGCCGTTTAGTGGGCCGGCTATAATTGTAGTTGTGATCGTTATAAAATATATCAACAACAATAGTATAATCTAATTAGCACCAGCCAATCAAATGACAGATTTAAAAATCGTTTGTCAAATCGGCCAATCAGCGCTCAGTCCAGATTCTGGACTGAACAACCAGGCAAAATGCCACTTTTGTGTCAGGCCGTACTTTTCTCCCCTTCGCCCACGATCAGGCGTGCCTGTGCCCTAAAAGTAGGGCCTGATACTCAGGTTAGAACAGTCTCCAATAAGCTTTGTAGTATAACAGATGTAAATTTCACTATGCAGCCAGTGTATGTGGCCACACTAATTCCTGACGAAGGGACTTTGCTCGAAAAGTCGAATCTGTTTGTATCATTTAGGTAGTGAGTAGAACCTTTGCTGCTTGTTAAATGATGTTTAACAGATGTAAATAACTATTATAACTACAAGTATTTCATAAATATAACATATATACCTTGCTTAACGATATGGCCTTCTCTAAGGCCAAATTCTCGTCTTCCTCCTGGTATGCTGCCATCCAGTTAAACAAACCGCCAATTTTGCACTCTCCTTTCATGACCTCGGCATACAATCTTTTACTGTTAGACATGTTTTTTGTCTTTAATTTCCGAGAGTTTGAAGAGGTTACCTCAGGTAACGAATGAACAGGCAAAGGTTGATGTTGCTTTCAGACTTACAAAGCCACAATAAAGAAACGTGTGTGGTGTTCTATTTCATGCCATGAGGTGTGATGTTAGAGCGGTATGGCTAATGTGTTTTCAATTCAATTTTCATTTCCTTCCTAGTTCTTTCTTTGTGCTTGCATTTTTATTGCTAGCAGCAGAAAGCAAATAGTATTTTTATGGTTTGAAGGAAAAGTTCACAGTTCGCATTTGCAGTTCGTATTCTGCAAATGATCGGTATTTGCAAATAGCTATATATACTCTAAATCTGTAATAGTTTTTGAAACGCGAATGAGTTTTCGTGAAGAAAAACGACCCACGACTATTAACCCACGACACACAACTTAAAGTGACACACGTCTATATTTGACAAATGGAAATACAATATGTGCATAATGATAAGCCCACATATACCTAGTTGCGATAAATTTTAGAATATATAGGCTGTTGGCCAAAATTATTTCGCTTCGTGGCACCCATGTGGGAAATACTTGGTTTGGGGTTTATTTGAAAGGCATATAGGTAACATCACTACCAAAAAAAGTTCACAAGCAAAAAAGTTGCCCAATCCCAAGAAAATGGGTGATCAATGATTATCCTCTATTAAATTGTATTACAGCAAAAAAATTGGAAATTCTGTATTCAATTACAATAAAAATTACTTGCATCATCGGCAAGCGTACAAAAAACCGCATAGAAGACGTTTAAACAGTTTTTTGATTTTTCAAATAGTATTTGAGTTATTGCTGTTTTAAATGTGAAAATTGGACCACAAACACGCAATAAGGACTGGGTACCAGGTCAAAAAACACGTTTTTGACAGCGTATAACTCGAAAACAATTTTAGATAAAAAAAAATGTTTTCTGATAATGCAAGTCATTTTTGTTGTAATTGAATACAACATTTTACATTTTCTTGCTGTAATAAAATTTAATAGAGGATAATCACTGATCACCCATTTTCTCGGTGTTGGGCAGGTTTTTTGCTTGGGAACTTTTTGTGGTAATTAAGCATCTATGGTACTATGAATTGAACCACAGAAAATCTATTTCCCAGGAGTGTGCCACAAAATTGCTTTTATAGGCACTTTTTCGCACAACAGCCCACAGCCTAATATGGACAAAACAAACTTTGCGAACTTGTTACTCGTTACAGGATATATATGCCGGAATATATAGAGGGCGTATTATACAGACAAAATGTATATAATTAAAATAACTATATATTGATGGAATGATATATATCGATGTGATGTATTTGTGACCATTGCGCAAAGATATTTAACAAAGGTTTATTATTTACGAGATACCCTAGATAACGTTTAGAAAATAGAATATAGAATTTTGGAAGACAAATAGCTAGATAGGTCAAGGAAAAGTGATGGAACGTGAAGTTTTTTGCCTATACAAATTAAATCAAAGTACGATATTCTGACGGTTGTTTCTCTCCGAAAAAATAATGGATTTTTGTGCTAAGACTTTTAATCCAGTGCTTTCACAGTCAAAATAGCACTATTGTTTACACACAGTTGACGATGTTCAGGAAATCAAAGGATCCTGTTATAAAATAAATCCTTTTTTTTTGAATATCAGACAGTATACACTTCAACTATAAACAACCAACCATATCATTCGTTTATACCGTTTGATCAATCAGTCGGTGTAGAAGATATGTATGTTTCTATGACTACGACGATGCATGCTCACTTCGCAAGCCAGGCATGCAGAGTGTTTTCCTTGCAAGCGAAATATGATCCAGCTTGAAATGTGCCGCAACACTTATTATTCATGACATTCAGTATAGCAAAAAGTCTTGTTGTGATGAGTACAATTTAGAACAGCATAAATCATGTTTATTAATACATTATGAAGTGAGGTAAACAACACTGATGCACATGGCAAATGCCAACTACTACATTCCCATCCCTCCCAGATTGACAAAACGCCAATTAAAAATCTGCTAGATTTTAGCAGATCACATGACCAGTGTCCACCAGGGTCTTTCATCCCCAAGAGGGAAGAGCCTGGGAATGAGGTTGACTCTGTAGTTATTATTTTTCTAGTTGGAGTTTGTCTCTTAACAAATGGGAATTGCCGAGAAATTGGGTCTTCCATTTTCTAGTAAACTGTAAGGGAATCCATGGAAATAATGGGAATCCATGGTTCACAGCATTTTGGGCGAGCAGGGCTCCTGGAGTTGCAGGGAAGGTGTCGAGCTTCTGCTTCATTCCAAATTATATCATTCTTATGAAGTCGACACCTGTGTCAATTAGTCCAGCAATTAGTACGAGGGTTGGCATCGGTTTGTTTGACCTACGAACCAGGTGTAAAGCCTATCCACATTCCGAATGCACATCATCGGGTCCACAAAACACACTGTTTCCCTCAGTTTCAGTAAATAAGTGATAATTATTATCTACTAATTTTATTTACTGTATGGTGAACATTTGAAGTTTGATCATTGTATAGACTCTGTGCCTAATCAACTGTGCAATCTGCTTTCTCATAATAATCTAAATTTGTCATAGTTTTTGGCTATATATAGCCTGAGTAATTGTACCATAAACCCATTGAGTTACATTGCACCCAAGTGCAAAAGCCAGCATACTACTTTGTTATTTTACTTTGTCTCCCACAGACAAATTTACTTGTAAAGGGAAGAGTGCTGGTGCTCAGTAGGATAATTAGTACCCATATATCTAGTTAACCCCTTGAGTTGCATTGTTATTTTGCCTGCCAGTCCTCTAAAGCGAGATGAGCTTACTTGTCAAGAGCAGTCAATGCCTCGTTAAAGAAAAAAAAAATGCTGCAAACACACTGGAGTAGTATGGTATTTCAATGTTATAAATTCTCATGCATCTTTTATTATTATATTTTATTTCATTTTATTCAGACACAAAACAGGTGAAATATATTTATTTTGTTAGATAACATTTGTTTATATTAAAAGCAATATTGGGTCATTCCAGAAAAGATCCTCCATCTTCTATAGTGTAGATTTCTGCAATCTGAGGGGGAGGGGAAATATATGCTTTGGATTATAATATGTCAACCAAACAAAGGGGGCAGGTAACTTCCAATTTCTGTGCATGTTAAAAACCTGGATGTTTTCTGGAATGGCCCTTTTGTGCTAAAAGCCTTAAACTGTACATTCCTACTATCTAACTTAATTTCAACTATCTTACAAATTTGAATTAACTACAGTCAGTTTAAAGGTACTGTGTAGAGGACAAAACAATTTTCCTAATTTATCTGGATGCATTTCTCTGTGTCCACTATACATATGGGTACAGCATCTTGCCCAGGACTATGCTGAAATTAAGCTATAATATATGTCATATTTTATTGAAAAGCACTCAGTGCATGGTTCCAGCAATAAATATTAAAATTTCACACCTTTGTTGTAAAGACCTTGTGTAAGCTGCAGACATAATGGGTATTGAAGTTTATGCAGCTTGGCTTCAATCAATGATACTAGCTCTCTTACTTGTTGGGATGGATTTACTGAAGGGAGGTGTGCATCCCTCATAGCCGTGGCATAAATTTTTCATGTTCCTTATTAATCCATTGAGCTGCAACGTGTTCCAGCTACATTTTTTTACTTGTCTAACGTCAGACGATTTTAATCGTCAACGGAGAAGCTCTGCAGCTTAATGGGTTAAATCAATTTTTGGTGGTGTCAAAAATTGAAAATTAACATGATATAAAGCAAGATGATTTTGTTATGGACTTGGTCAACAATTACAGTATTACACCCTGAACCATGACCAATGACCAAAGCACAATTATCTCCCCTCACTCCTCAACAGACCTGACTGGATCTATCCCTGCTTACCTGCCTTTTCTTGTACCCCAATATTATTTTATACTGGTGGGACACATAACTCAAACACTTGATGCATTTGGTGAAAATACTGTGGTTACAGTATATTAATCATGTTTGCAAACATATATATCAACTGCATGACTTGGCAATGCACACTGATGGGCCATACTTTATCTTTTTTATTCTGACTGATGCCAGACGATTTCACTTATCAAGGGGAGAGTGCTGATACTAGATAGGTTAAGATGTTTCCTGGCCAACTCATTTTACATTACAAGATATTGGGTTGACAACTGCAGTGAATGAGCGGCGGCTTGTCCAATTTTGGCAAAATTTCCAAACATCATGAGTACTATTAATCCCTAATTGTACGAGCAATGTCGCATGATTACTTGTTTATTATGAGCATGACAAAATTGGATACATCTCAATGTCAACATTATATTCTCTCACCAAAGTCCAGTCCTGCCAGGCATTCAACCAAAACTTGGTGCTTTTGTTCGTATTTTCATTTAGTTCTATTGTTAAAGCGAATTTTGGTGCTTTTGTTTGTATTTTCATCTAGTTCCTCTAGGGCAATTTCATTTCACATCTGTGTTTAAAATACCTTTCCGCCATTTTGTTTGTTTTGGGAAAATCATTAATTGTACTGCAGTACAATTAATGAAATAATTGTACTCCTCTCAACCAATCAGCATCCAGTAATTTTGTCATGCTAATAATAAACTATTACTATTTATATTTTTAGAATCTATATTAAATTCCACGGGCTGATTCTAGTTGTTGGTGCCAAGTTCATATCGTGGGCCAACAAATTTTGTTCCACCCCGTCGTCCATAAGGCCTGCATATATGCTTCGGAATGTGGCAGCTGAAATTGTCATGTTGGCAAATTTCCAGATTCTCTGTTGCTGGCCTACTCACCTTGTAAGACTGGAAATGGCTGTCAAATGTCACCATCTCATATGGCTGAACCACAAATTTTATGGCCAACAGGTTTTTTCCACGATGGCAATTCTGTGGATTTTGCAGAAATGTGGCATATCCATTTCATCAAAACCAATATGGATGATGGCATTGCATTTGTACTTCGTCTCTCCAA